GGACCGCCTGACCCATGGCCAACTGCTGTTCCCATGGAACCCTTCTCCACTTCGGCCTTCAAGGTTCTCACTTGAATATTTGCTACTACCACCAAGATCTGCGCCTGTGGTTGCTTCACCTAGGCTTACGCCTGAGGCTTCCCGCTAGCCACAGCGACCCTCCTACTCGTCGCCGCCACTCCGTGCCTGGACCAAGTCAGCTTGCCCTCACACTGCTTAGGCCCAGCTTGCAGCAACGGTACGGTATAGGTCCAACGCTCGAGCGCCATCCATTTTCAGGGCTGGTTGATTCGGCAGGTGAGTTGTTACACACTCCTTAGCGGTTTCCGACTTCCATGGCCACCGTCCTGCTGTCTGGACCAACCAACACCTTTTGTGGTATCTCATGAGCGTCGCGTTAGGCACCTTAACCGCACGTTTGGTTCATCCCACAGCGCCAGTTCTGCTTACCAAAAATGGCCCACTTGGCACTCACATTCAATGCAAAACTCCATTTAAGCGAGTTAAGCTTCTCACCCATTTAAAGTTTGAGAATAGGTTGAGGATGTTTTCTCCCCAATGCCTCTAATCATTCGCTTTACCGGATAAAACTGTTTATATCTCAGAATGCCAGCTATCCTGAGGGAAACTTCGGAGGGAACCAGCTACTAGATGGTTCGATTAGTCTTTCGCCCCTATACTCACGTTATACGATCGATTTGCACGTCAGAATCGCTACGGTCCTCCACCAGAGTTTCCTCTGGCTTCAACCTTCGCAAGCATAGTTCACCATCTTTCGGGTCTCAACATGTACGCTCTTGCTCCGCCCCGACGGTGCACATAGCACAAGGCCACATGTCTACGTCATGGGACGGGCCGGTGATGCGCCTGCTGCTCGCAGCTTGGAATTAATGAGCAAAACAACAGGATCTCACCTCAGCCTGGACAAGCCAAACCTTTACCTTCACTGCGCCTTTGGGTTTCGTAAAGCCCAATGACTCGCGCACATGTTAAACTCCTTGGTCCGTGTTTCAAGACGGGTCAGGTGGATAGTCTACCACAACACCACAGACTATTGGCCCAAACTAAGACACACGCACCACTGCCAACTGAACATGATCAAGCCATCAACTGACCAGCCGAAACTAGCAACAAGTCGACCAGACTCAACCACGCCTGAAGGACAGAGCGCATATGCAAAGCCGCCGTCTCCGACACACCGTACAGATCCACAATAGCCGGCTAGTAACACTCATAGCCCACAGAGTGGACCAGTGAGTCACCTGCCAACCCAACCAAGCCCAACGTTAATCAGACCTGATCAGTTTGACCAAAGCAGACAGACAGCAGTGCCGGTCGTGGTGAACACCCTGAGAAAGTGCACCGACAAGCAGACTCATACACCCTCCAATGCGTGCGGCACATGATAAGCGCACCACACATACCCACCAGAGGCAGGCACCCGCAGTTAAGCAGACACTGAAAGGCGGTCAATATGCCCAAGCACAAATCATGCTCATCAGCTGAATTCCCAAGGATCGCAGTTCAACTCCACCCGTTTACCTCTGAGCGGTTTCACGCACTGTTTACTCTCTCTTCAAAGTACTTTTCAACTTTCCCTCACGGTACTTGTTTACTATCGGACTCGTGCAAGTATTTAGCCTTGGATGGAGTTTACCACCCACTTTGGGCTGCATTCTCAAACAACCCGACTCCAAGGTAAGCTCTGGACAAAACTGTCATGCTTGGTCTCTACCCCCACGGGCCTTTCACCCTCTTTGGGCCAGAACGGTATGCCGTACTCATTGCTGGACTTGGGGCAGAGCAGTAATGCCAAGAACAAACCTAAACACCACATTGCCTTGCAGTCAAATAACCACAGGCTTCGGTGCTGGGCTAATCCCTGTTCACTCGCAGTTACTAGGGGAATCCTTGTTAGTTTCTTTTCCTCCGCTTAGTGATATGCTTAAGTTCAGCGGGTATTCACATCTGATCCGAGGTCAGGGTAAAAATAATAATGTGCATAACACATTCTCGGTTAAACCATAGACTATGTATAGACCCCCAATCAAGCCGTTCATTTATATGTAACTGTATTCACGATAGGTCATGTACTCTCGAGCGTTTACATATATGTATATCATTAAGCTACGACTCGAGCACAACCCACCGTGGCGACTCAATCAGAAGTTCTACACCAGACTAGGCTGTGGCCGGAAAAATTCGGACGGAGCCTTTGACCAGCAACCCGCGTTGATATACGGGTATACACGCCGGCAGGCACTCGCCCAATCCACGACTTAAAGTGCATCGTGATAGATGGAAAGCCGACCCTCGGACAGACGTGGCCACAGGATATCCCGTAGCCGCAATATGCGTTCAAGATGTCGATGTTCAAAGCAGTATGCAGTTCACATTAATTCACACAGTTGGCTGCACTCTTCATCGACGCACGAGCCGAGTGATCCACCGCTCAAAGTTGTACTCCAATAATCCTACACACCGGTTTCCCAGATGCATAGAACTAAAGGTTCGAGGCTGCAACCCGGGCGCAAGTCTACCAGGCCAGCGTACATGCAGTCCAGCTTAAAGCCAGGTGCATGCGGAGCAGCAAACCCGTGAATGGCAAGCCAAACCGGATCGCTTAAACAGTGTAAAAAGAAGTAAACATTATCAGGGCGAGGCGCATGCATATAGCACACAGCCTTCTTCAAACCTTGCACACAACCATTAGGTCGCGTACTATCCCATCGCCCTTGGCAGATCTGGCAACAAAAGTCACGAGAACACCATCAGAGCATATGACAGGCTAGGTACCCCGGTCAAAGAATTATAATGCATTGCTGCCTTCCGTCAATTCCTTTAAGTTTCAGTTTGAATGATTGACTGCGCGGTTTCAGTCATCACTCAATCATCGACTGCCGTGCCAGTCGTAAAGAGTATTTCACTCTTTTGTGCTGAATGGTTGCTCAAGCCAAACAACACTTATCAATGAACCAACATGAACACCTCTCTCAATCGTCTATTGACTGCCGTGCTAGTCTTCCAGATTACCTCACTCTTTTGTGCTGAATGGTTGCCCAAGCCAAACAACACTTATCAATGAACCAACATGAACACCTCTCTCAATCGTCTATTGACTGCCGTGCCAGTCTTCAAGATTACCTCACTCTTTTGTGCTGAATGGTTGCCCAAGCCAAACAACACTTATCAATGAACCAACATGAACACCTCTCTCAATCGTCTATTGACTGCCGTGCCAGTCTTCAAGATTACCTCACTCTTTTGTGCTGAATGGTTGCCCAAGCCAAACAACACTTATCAATGAACCAACATGAACACCTCTCTCAATCGTCTATTGACTGCCGTGCCAGTCTTCAAGATTACCTCACTCTTTCGTGCTGAATGGTTGCCCAAGCCAAACAACACTTATCAATGAACCGACATGAACACCTCTCTCAATCGTCTATTGACTGCCCTCCCAGTCTTCAAGAGTATTTCACTCTTTTGTGCTGAATGGTTGCTCAAGCCAAACAACACTTATCAATGAACCGACATGAACACCTCTCTCAATCGTCTATTGACTGCCCTCCCAGTCTTCAAGAGTATTTCACTCTTTTGTGCTGAATGGTTGCTCAAGCCAAACAACACTTATCAATGAACCGACATGAACACCTCTCTCAATCGTCTATTGACTGCCCTCCCAGTCTTCAAGAGTATTTCACTCTTTTGTGCTGAATGGTTGCTCAAGCCAAACAACACTTATCAATGGACCACCAAGATCTCTATTATCGACTGCTCAGCTCAGTCTTCTCAACATGCATGATCCGTCCCGACGGTGCACATAGCACAAGGCCACATGTCTACGTCATGGAACGATACCACCATGTATACTTCACTCTCATATTTAATCTTTCGGGTTTATATGCTTTGGTGTTTAGATCTGGGGAACCTACACCAACTGGCATGTCTCAGCACACCAGAACAATATCCGTGCTTCAATTGGGTACATGTTTGAATGTCTTGTAATGATCCTTCCGCAGGTTCACCTACGGAAACCTTGTTACGACTTTTACTTCCTCTAAATAGTCAAGTTAGGTCGTCTTCTCGGCATCAGTCGAGCGGCAAAGCCACTGCAACGACACCAATCCAACGGCTTCACTAAACCATTCAATCGGTAGTAGCGACGGGCGGTGTGTACAAAGGGCAGGGACGTAATCAGCGCAAGCTTATGACTTGCACTTACCAGGAATTCCTCGTTCACGGGGAATAATTGCAAGCCCCGATCCCAGTCACGACGGTGATGAAACAGTTTGCCCAACCCTTTCGGGCCAGGTTCCCAGACTCGCTGGCACCGTCATTGTAGCGCACGTGTGGCCCCGGACATCTAAGGGCATCACAGACCTGTTATTGCTCAATTTCGTACGACTTCGATGTGCCGTCTGTCCCTCTAAGAAGTAAAAACTGGCACCGTACCCGCCGGATCACGACCACACTACTCCATAAAGAAGCAATAGAAGCCGCGCCCTGAACGAGCACAGAGGACCAATCTACTATTTAGTAGGTTAAAGTCTCGTTCGTTATCGGAATTAACCAGACAAATCGCTCCACGAACTAAGAACGGCCATGCACCACCATCCACCGAATCAAGAAAGAGCTTTCAATCTGTCAATCCTCACAGTGTCCGGGCCGGGTGAGTTTTCCCGTGTTGAGTCGAATTAAACCGCAGGCTCCACTCCTGGTGGTGCCCTTCCGTCAATTCCTTTAAGTTTCAGCTTTGCAACCATACTTCCCCCGGAGCCCAAAGACTTAAAGGTTTCCCGGGGACTGCCCGCAATGTCAATTATAGAACCATCGCGGATCGTCAGTTGGCATCGTTTATGGTCAGAACTACGACGGTATCTGATCGTCTTCGAAACTCTGACTTTCGCTCCTGATCAATGAAAACATTCTTGGCAAATGCTTTCGCTGTAGTTTGTCTGGCGATGATCCCAGAATTTCACCTCTAACACCGCCATACAAATGCCCCCGTCTGTCCCTCTTAACCATTACTTCGGATCCGAAAACCAACAAAATAGAACCGAAGTCCTATTTCATTATTCCATGCAAGAATTTCTAGGCACAAAGGCCTGCCTTGAGCACTCAAATTTGTTCAAAGTAAAGATGCCGTCCGCTCCCGACACCCGGTTAAAGGCATCCGGAAGCATGCCAACAGATAGCGGGCAAGAAGAACTCACCCATCTCCGTCAGCACCCGTTTACACAGATACGGCTGAAAGGCTGCACAACCACTACACCGAGCCGAACACAAGTTCTGATCGTAACCAAAACCGCGAACAAGCAACGGCATGCGACCGCACAACCCAGGTTCAACTACGAGCTTTTTAACTGCAGCAACTTTAATATACGCTTTTGGAGCTGGAGTTACCGCGGCTGCTGGCACCAGACTTGCCCTCCAATTGGTCCTCGTTAAAGGATTTAAATTGTACTCATTCGAATTACGGAGCCTCAATTGAGTCCCGTATTCGTATTTTTCGTCACTACCTCCCCGTGCCGGGAGTGGGTAATTTTCGCGCCTGCTGCCGTCCTTGGATGTGGTAGCCATTTCTCAGGCTCCCTCTCCGGAATCGAACCCTGATTCCCCGTTACCCGTTATTATCATGGTAGGCAGATCACCTACCAACAAATTGATAGGGCAGACATTTGAAAGATCCGTCGCCGACACAAGGCCGACTGCGATCATTAAAGTTATCCAGAGTCATCACAGAATTCAACAGAGACAGCCGAAACTGCCCCCGGTTGGTTCTGTTCTAATAAATGCACCCGTTCCCTTGCGGGTCAGGGCATAATTGCATGTATTAGCTCTAGAATTACTACAGTTATCCATGTAGCATATATGATCTAAGGAACCATAGCTGATTTAATGAGCCATTCGCGGTTTCACCGTTTTAAGGTATGTACTTAGACATGCATGGCTTAATCTCTGAGACAAGCATATGACTACTGGCAGGATCAACCAGTTTATTCACACCACGATACACCCATTGACTGGGCATTGGTTTTCAGGAGAACCAAACACACGCATCCCCGCCTCTTGCGAGACGAGAACGGCATGCAGGATCAACCTGTGGCGCAACCACTCGAGAGCCCTCTCCCTCGGTGGACCATTCGCACCGTTTGTATACATAGCAATACATAGGTAAGCACTGTTACGCCGACCACTGATCGCGTCAATCAATTAAGCACTGCATAGACAAGCTCAATAGAACCCATCTCGCATACAAGACCTGTCAAACGTATTATTATATGCAAAAGTAGCACGCATAGCGACGCTATAGTGACAATAGGCCCCTATAAACGAAGCCAGCAGCCACCAAATTCAATGAAATCGTTATCCCTGCCAACCAATTTAGCATGCAAATAGCTTCCATACGTCTACCAAGACTATAGAAAACCATAACACAGTCAATAAGCGAGCCATGAGATCAATTTAACCCACGCTCATATCGTCTATATAGCTTATGCTGTGTTTACTATAGGATTTTTAGGGTTATAAGCTAGTAGCCTTGCATCGAGCTTTTGAGGCCTTAGACAAGCTCTAAACCCCTTGATGACAGATACCAAAACTCGTTTCACGACTTCCTCTATCGTTTGGAAGCGTTTTCTAAATTTTCAATTTTTTGAGCTTTGGGACCTGAGTTAGGGGTAGTATCCCTATAATACATATAGAGTTTAACACTACACAGTCCAAAAAATTTTTTTTTGGAATTTAGACCAGTGTTATACATCATTCGATAGCTCTTGATAAATGTAGTCACCTCAGAAAATTTCAGGCAAATCGGTTCGGCCAATTTAAAATTATTTAAATTTTTTTAGTATTTCTCCTATACTTTCTATAGTAAAAAGCGGCAAAAATTGAAATTTTAGAAATTTTTAAATTTCTCTTCAGTGGATGAATATTTTGGCCTAATTCCTTTTGTGCACCACTTTTCAAACGATTCTCTATCGAATGATATATGGCATGATACGGGGTTGTAAAATTTTCATTTTGTGGACTCTGTAGTGTTAAACACCATTTTCGGATTTTTCAATCCAAAATCGTGGACTTAGCCGCAGAACGAAAATCCATACTTTTGGTCATAACTTTTGAACGAATAAATATTTTTCAATGGGGTTTTTTCCATCGTGTAGAGCATAAAAATATCTATCATTAATACCATATACACTTTTGCGCCATCTGCCTTCGTTTCCGAGGAAATTTAATTTTTCATGATTTTTGGCAATTTGGACATAGCCGCAGAACGAAATCCTATATATTTCCTATGGGAGTTTTAAACTTTCCTTCATAACTTTTGAACGAATGAATATTTTTCAATGGGGTTTGTTTTATCGTGTAGATCTCGTGAATATCTACCATTCATACCATATACACTTTTGCCCTATCTGCTTTCGTTTTGGAGATAATTAATTTTGAAAATTTGAAAAATTTGGCCTCATGAAAATCCTATAGGAATCCTATAGGAATTGTGTCACAATTTCAAACTTTTTTCAATAACTTTTGAACGGCTGAACATTTTTCAATGAAGTTTTTTTTATCTTGTAGATCTCGTGAATATCTATCGTTGTATGCCACACACTTGACACCATCTGCCTCCCCCTTCTCTCAAAAAAATTTTTTCCTTAAATTTTGCAGTCCCCATAGGAATCCTATAGGAAATACTGAAAATTTCATATTTTTTTTAATTTTTTCTTCTGCAATTACATTTAAAAATATATAATTACAAACGCCGAAATCCTGCAATTCCCAGCTATCGAATGATGTATAGCTTGCCAGGGGGTCTCGAAAAAAAATTTTTCGGCCTGTGTAGTGTTAAACTCTCCATGTTATATAGGGAGACCACCCTTTACTGGGTCCGTCTACCCATCGGTAACAGTAGTTGGCGCATGCCTTCTACTGTAACCTTTTAAAGGGGAGGATATATATATATATATCTTGGAAATAGACGTGTCTCTTCTGGTTTTGAAAAATCAAAGGGAGTCACAGTGGTTACTGGTGATCAATTTATGCTATCTTTTCCTGCATAACTTTGCAACCAAAGGTTATTTTGCAATGCGGTTTCTTGCATCGTGTAGAGCACAAAAATATCTATCATTGATACCATATACACTTTTGCGCCATCTGCCACCGTTTCCGAGTAACATTGAAAAAATGATGATTTTTGGTAATTTGGACTTAGCCGCAAAACGGCTATAAGTTTCCTATAGGAGCCTATGGGAAAATCAGTCTTTCCTTCATAACTTTTCAACGGCTGAATATTTTTCAATGCAGTTTGCTTTATTCGATAGAGCTCATTGATATCTACAATTAATAATTTATAACCAGATAGCTAGCTCTCTTCGTTTCGTGGATATTTTGACTTTTGTAAAATTCGGACATAGCCGCCACAGCAATCCTATAGAATTCCTATAGGATCCTATGGGCTTAGTTGGTGTTTCATGCATTTGGGAGTCATAGTTACTCCTGCTCTTGGATTTTGGTACCCAGTGGCTATATAGGCTTAGTAGGTGTTTCATGCATTTGGGAGTCATAGTTACTCCTGCTCTTGGATTTTGGTACCCAGTGGCTATATAGGCTTAGTAGGTGTTTCATGCATTTGGGAGTCATAGTTACTCCTGCTCTTGGATTTTGGTACCCAGTGGCTATATAGGCTTAGTAGGTGTTTCATGCATTTGGGAGTCATAGTTACTCCTGCTCTTGCTTTTGGACTTAGCCGCAAAACGGCTATAAGATTCTTATAGGAGCCTATGGGAAGATCAGTCTTTCCTTCATAACTTTTCAACGGCTTAATATTTTTCAATGCGGTTTTTTTTATTTGATAGATCTCATTGATGTCTATCATTTATAATTTGTAACCAGATAGCTAGCTCTCTTCGTTTCGTGGGTATTTTGACTTTTGTCAATGGCGGGTAAACGGCGGGAGTAAGTGTGACTAACTTAAGGTGGTCATAGTTACTACCGATACCAATTTTGTGCCACCCGAACGTTAGAATACTACTTTTGGGGCATAAAACGCATACATATATGTACGCGTATATCTGTATATATATGAACAGTACACAGGTGCATACGCATAACTATACCTAGGCGTAGCATACACATATATACATGCACTAGCCAACATATATGCATACTCATGTACATATATGTATATAAGCGCAATTACGCAAATGCACATACATGTACATGAATATACATACATATGACCAATACACATATATACATATATGACTATACCAAAGCATAGCATACACATATACATATGCACTAGCCAACATATACGCATACTCCTATACACATATGTACACAAGCGCAATCACACAAATACACATATATGCACATGAATATACATACATATGACCAATACACATATATACATATATGACTATACCATGGCATAGCATACATATACACAAATGCACAAGCTCATACATATGCATAGGCATATACACACTTGTATAGGTGTGTTTTATATAAGCACACAAATTCTACATATACACATGCAAGAACGTAAGTATGCACACACGTATATACACATATATTCATATATATCGCATGTATATACACAAGCACATGCATATAAAAATATATAACACATGCTCACATATATATAAGGATGTACATGAATAATACATATACACACATGTATACATATCTCACGGACTACATATGCACATATAGATATCTATGCACTCATGTAATTATTCTACATGTATGCTGTACATGCAAAACTGTAGGTACACAAACGCGTACATACGCATATACATACATGTCCACATATAACACATGTATATACACAAACATATGTATATAAGAATATATAACACATGCTCACATATATATAAGGTTGTATATGAACAACATATATACACACATATATACGCATCATATGAACCACAATCATGCACATAGGCATAAATGCTTATGTATATACCAGACCGTAGTCCAGTAATTAGGGAAATGA